GCTATAAGTTTATGACGCTTTAAAAACGTCGTAAAATTAGTATAGAAGGTTTTCTCTCTCGCAGGCAAGGCTGGCACTGCTGTGAGGACGGTGCAGACGGTGGTGGCGGTGGAGCTTCGAAATCGAAACCGCTCTGAATCTCAAAGATGAATCTGTGAGAATGGTAAGGTTTTAGAGAGGGTTGAGAGAGAGACGAGATTTGAAGGTGTGAGGATTCAGAATAAGGGTTTACAAAGGCTTTAATAATTGTTCTCAGATTCAAAATAGGCTTCGAAATTGAGAGAAAGAATCACCGAAACATAAATTTCGAAATCCAAATCGAAATCGCCAAGATGAATCACCGAGATTGTATCATTTTGAGATGAATCAGCGAAAGATGAATCCATCTGTTGAGAGGTTTATAGAGAGAGAGAGAGAGAGAGAGAGCGCGAACGACAGACTGAGTGGGTGAGTAAGAGATTAGGGCCACAAAATGTATTATATATTTGATTTCCCTCAGTATTCACCAGCTAGCCCATTTAAGATTGAGAGAGAGAGACATTTGAAGGCGCTTTCAAGCGTCTTCTGTTATTGAAACGTTGTCGTTTTAATTTTAAAAAAAAGTGACGTTTAAGAAACGCCATTAAATATTATAAATGGTGGCATTTAATAAAACGTCGCTAAATAAACGTCGTTAAAACTGATATTTCCTGTAGTGTCCACTGAGATGTTGATATTGTATAAATTGTGTACTTAAATAAAATAAATAGATTCATATTGAACAATCACTTTGAATTTCAGAACTAGAACATGTTGAAATTTACAGAAATTCATAATAAAATAAAACTAGTAAAATGATGCAAATCGAAACCTGCGTAATATCACAGTGTCTTTAAAATAGATTAGCCGCCTCACCATTGGTGCTGGAGGAACGTCGACTTCTGTCTTTCAGGATACGACGATTTAGACCGAGCTAACGCAGAAGCACCTTCTGTTAGCTTTGGCGAATTTAATAATGGTTGTACTCTCTCTAACAAGAATCAAAGAAGGAACTAGTAAAAGATAGGAAAATTTTTCTTTGGTGTAAAAAATCATTTCTAACTTCTTCTTTTTTTATCTCAAAACAACATCCTCATTTTTCATCAAAATCTCTCAAAAACTCTTCTTATAAGTTGGAGGGAAAAGACCCTTTTTATACTTGTAGGAAAGAGGTCTTAGCCATAAAGGCTATCATAAAACCTAGCATCAACGACCATCAACTCTAACCTTTAGGACTGAAGTTACAAGGGTGTAAAATTCTCATGTGCATAATGATCATCAACTCTATTATCAAAAGATGAGAGTTACAAAGGTTAAATAAATAAATAAATATAATGTTCTTTAAATAATCTAGCCAGATAGTTCGCAAAATGAATACGGGTATTGGGTCATAACCCGATCCACACCCAGTCTAAAACATATGCACAAGACAAGCCTAGTCCAGCATAGCACAATCTAGCTCATGCCCAAGACTAAGTCCAACACATGTACATACACAAACCTAGGCCAGTCTAAACCAAGACAAAACCTAAGTCCAAGTCCAAGCCTAGGCCCAAGCCTAACTTCTATTGATGCCCACTTTATGAGACAATTCTCATTCACAACTCAATGGTTTCAACCCATCATTTTTATATTGTAATCTTCTCACTTGAAAGAATACCAAACCACTCAAACCCACATCAACAGACAGTTAAATCCCACTTTAATTCCGAATTATAATTGCCGAAAAACTATTATTTTCCAACAGGTGATTGGTTATACAAATTTAGAATGTGTTTGGACTTCTTGAAATGAACAGAAAACGAACAGGAAAATTCTTCAACTACGATTTTTCGAATTGAAGGTTCAATGTGAACCATTTATTTTGAAAACAAAATATGCAAAAAAAAATATGTTTTTTTCCACGTTTATTTTGTTACGTTGTTGAAATATTCAAAAAAAAAAAAAGAAAAAGAAAAAAGGATATAATTATTTTTTTTAACACATTCTACTTTTCGTCTTTAATTATATAAGTAAATAATGGATAATAAATATAGTCCAACGATTTTCTGATAAATCAATTAGTCCTAATAATTTTAGAAATGTAAATTTAATATATTATTTGAAAATTTAATTTACAATTATACCTTATTTTTATTATGTTTCCTTTTCTTTTTTCTTTTGTGCTAGAAAAGTAAGGTACACAATCTATGGAAATTAAATTGGGGATTAATTTTTATATATGAATCTTTTTTATTTAGAAAACATTTCAAAATGAATATTAAAATGAATTGAAATATGAGATCTTTCAAATATTTCAAAAAGATGTGAAATTCTTCAAACATTTCAAAAAGAGTACAAAAACTCCTTAGTAAGTTTTGAGCAAATGTATAATTTTGAACTGTAACACTCAAATATAACACTCTAATGTAACGCTTCAAAAAAAATTTAGTATACTTTTCTCAAACGTAACACTCTAATATAATACTCTAAAAAAAACTCTTTAGTGTAATATTACAATGTAACACACAAAAAAACTCCTTAGTATTTCCAAACATAACATTCCAATGTAACACTCCAAAAAAAAATTATGTGAAATTTTTCAAACTATTCCAAAAATAGTACAAAAATTCGTTAGTAAATTTTGGATAAATGTATAATTTTCAAAGTATGAATATTACGTTTAGAAAAAGCACATTAAAAATTTTTTTAGTAATTTTTTGTGTGTTACATTAGAGTGTTACGTTTGGGACTACATTGATTGGAGTGTTACGTTTGAGAAAAGTACACTAAAGAGTTCTTTTAAATATTACATTAGAGTATTACGTTTGGAAAAAAATGGATTAAAGAGTTTTTTTCGAGTGTTACGTTGTTACGTTTAGAAAAAATATACTAAGGAGTTTTTAGTGCATTACATTGGAGTGTTACGTTATTAGAGTGTTACGTTTTATTCGTAATGTGAGATTTGTTCCATGAGGAGAGAAAATCCAAAACCTCTATAGTGCGAATTGTCTAAATGTGTAATTGTATATTTGAAAAAACTTACTTTTATCATTAAAAAATTAAACTCAAACATGTAAGTGACTATCCTTTTTGTGTAATTTTCACTTTAATAGAACCTTTGGAATCATGAGAAAAAGAGAAGACTAAACAATTTACAAAAAAAAAAAAAAAAGAAGGAAAGAAAAGAATATTTTTAAAGAAAATTTACTTCATTTCTCCTTTTCATTTAATTTTTTCTTTTGTTTTCTACAAATGCAAAATCTAAATAAAGCATTTTTTTTGTTTTTGTTTTTTTTTCTGTTAGCGCGGCTTTGACACAGTTGATGAGGACTAACTCGGATAACGTCTTTGCATCTCTAAGCACATTTTCAACGGTTTATTAATTTTTTTTTATTAAATTTAAATAAAAATTGAGAAAATTATGTAAATAGTCCATGTAATTTATATGATGTGTCAATTTGATTCCTATAGTTTCAATTTGTTCGATTTTGTTTCTTAATTTAACGGATTGTGTCATTTTAGTCCAATAAATAATGTTTGTTAAATTAACGGAAAATCAAACAATGTATCAATTTGATCCCTATATTTTTCACAATGTGTCAATTTAGTCTCTGTCAAAATCGAGAAAATTGAAACTATAAGGATCAAATTGACACATCATGTAAAGTATAGGGACCAAATTGATACATTGTTTGACCTTCTGTTAAATTAATTTAACAACCGTTATTTATTACACTAAAATGACACAATTTGTTAAATTAAGGGGCAAAATTAAACAAATTAAAACTACAGGGACCAAATTGACACATCGTATAAACTACAGGGACTATTTACATAATTTATCCATAAAAATTTAAATAAAAGTTTCCTTTGATATCAAGTGCTCTAACGGAGAGTTTTGTAACTTCATCAAATCACCGGTTGATTGATCAGTCGACTAATCAGTGTAATTTTTTTACAAATTTTTGCCTTGAGGTAGTCATCTGGAGGATATCCAGTAGTAAAAATCCAATGGCAATTAACAGTGATTTGATAAAATGCACATTAGTCTTTAGTTTGATGAAAAAAAGTGAAATCCTAAATTTGATGATGAATTTGATGAACCGTTGAAAGAACAAAAAGTATCATTTTTTTATCAAATTTAAATTTAATGATAAATTTAATAAACCATTGAAGATGATCTAATAACTACAATCACAAATATAATTATTAGATGAAACTGAAGTGATCAGCCAAAGAATAACGTTCAAAACATATTTTTCTTTCATGTAATTTCCCTTTCCATAGTGTAAAGCAAGTGTAATTTATTGACATTTCTTTCTTCATGTGATTGTTTGGTAATACTTTCCCAACTTGATGAAATTTCTCTTTTATTCGTTTAAGTTGACATGTCTTTGATTTCTTTATATTGTGTTTAATTAAGACATTTGAAAAGCGATTTAGAAAGAGAAAAGAAAAAGAAAAAAGCACTGCAAAAAATATGGGATTTCACAGCATTAAATTAACGAAGTTTATATAAACACCGTTATTTCTAATATTTAACGGTGTTGTATTATTGCCTTATTTTTTAAAATTAAAACGGTACTGCTTTGCTAATTGAAGGTGTTTAGAAACGCCTTCAAATGTCTATCCCACTCTCTCTCTCTCTCTCTCTTAACTCTCTCTTAACTCTCTCTAAACCCTAATTTTTGTGTCAAATAGATTAGGTGATTGCGAAGTTCAACCTTTCTTCAGTTCGGTGATTCAATCTCAGATTCATTCGGTGATTTCAAAGTTCTCTCTCAATTTCAAAGCGCCACCGCCATCACCATTTGCATCGGCAAGGAAGTGAACACCATCGTCTACTAAGATGAGCACCATTGCTTCAGAAAATCTCTCTCTCTCTCTCTCTCTCTCAAGTTCTTCCTGTCACGCCCCAAAATTTGAGACCACAAGAGAAATATATAAAGTACAATTCAAACAAAAGAGATAACCACAATATTTTAATATACACGTATAAGTAGAGTTATAACATAGATAACTGATTTGAGTTCCACTAGAGGTTTACAAAACACTGTCAAACCAAAAGGTAAAAAGAGAGAGAAAACAAAAAAACAAACTACTAGTTCAAATTTTTCAAGTGAACCACGGCTCTAAAACTTCATCTTGATTGTCTTCGGAATAACCCTCCCCGTCGTAAGCTGCTTCTTCACCTGGCATAACACGCCATGAGCTTGGAATGCCCAGTAAAAACGCACACACCCCTATATCTTCTATCAATCAATCAACCATACACAAAACAAATCAGAAAACATAACATACTTACGTTAAGGTTTTATGAATTAGTAGTTAGACTAAACATCTAGAACCCCCCAAAGAGATCCTTCTACCCAACCACAAGATTAAACACCGGACTACTCAGAACTCCCCCTTTTGCTGCTTTGCAAACCTTACCACTCATGCCCACCTCCCGGTTATTTACCGGTCAGCGACATCGATGGACCTTAAAAGGGACGGCCAAACAAGTAGGCTCGCTTACACCCTAAATCATGTCTAGGGCTCGCTTACACCCTGCACATACCATACCAAAGGTTTCGCTTACACCCTGAAACCACCGCATAGAGTCTGAATACGTCCATGTCAACCTAGGGGCTCGCTCAAAATGCTTACACAAGACTTAACTCATTTGATATTAATCCCATCATAATTCATGTCATGCATATGTATAAAATGGTTCTAAAACACTAAGATGAACGTCACCCATTGCCAGCCCCTTATTATTTCCCGTTTATTAGATCTTTTGCTAGGTAAGTTAGTCACATTCGGTAATTCGGTCATATAAAAGAGTATGAGAAAAACATACGAGACGAAATATAGTCCATGATCATCATTTATAAGTATAGTAAGGCAAGAAAACAACATTAGAAATGTTTTGAAACACTTAGAAACAAATAACATAATAGAACACAATTTCCAGCACTGTTCGGTTCTGCAGGGCTAACAAGAACGCTTTGGGAAAAATACTTCTAGGTCAAATTAGGGGCTGAAATTGCACAGAAATAATAATTAGCCTGTCTAGTTTCAGTTCCAATTTTCAGAAGTTTCACAGCCCCTCCACAAATTCATCTACAAATATATTCGAAAACCTGTCCAGATTTGTCACCCTTTGGGAAAACTAGCTTTTCTCTCAATCTACCCGACGGTTTTCACTCAAATAAATTCTGTTGGAAAGAGGACTCAGAGTTATAAATTTTTACAGAAGAACCAACCCTAGATGATTTTTCTAGAATTTTATAAAATTGCTACACAATTTCCAGCGCTGTTCGGTTTTGCAGGGCTAACAAGAACGCTTTGGGAAAAATACTTCTAGGTCAAATTAGGGGCTGAAATTGCACAGAAATAATAATTAGCTTGTCTAGTTTCAATCCCAATTCTCAGAATTTGCACAGCACCTCCAGAAATTCATCTACAAGCTATATTCAAAAACATGTCCAAATTTGTTACCCTTTGGGAAAACTAGCTTTCCTCTCAATCTACCCAATGATTTTCACCCAAATAAATTCCATTGGAAAGAGGACTCGTAATTCTAAGTTTTGACAGAAGAATCAACATGAGATGATATTTATGAAATTTTATAAAATTGAAAGAAGTGGACTGTTTTTCAGAGACTCAAGACCAAATTTCTAAATAAAATATCCAAGCCCTAAAAACACATAATTAGGGGCTAGTAAAATTATCACAAGCTCTAAACACACCAAATAGCCTACACTAAATTCAGATTTGAAAAATAAATAGGTTTGATATTTCTTTTAAATTAGAGAAGTTGCAGCAGTGCATAATTTGAAAAATTTGTAAGGCAAAGTCACTAAATCAAACCCACACTTTCATACACATCAAAAACCCTATATACCATTAATATGCAACACAAGAGGGTATCTAGACAATAGGTTGAGATGGGTGAAAGAATTGGAGAAGACATGGAAGGGTGTGTTCTTACCTTCAAGAATTCCTTCTTTTTCTCTTTTTTTTTTTCTTTCTTCTTCTTACTTCTCTACTTCCCTTGAGCCAACTCTCCCTCTCTCACCCTCTCCTTGGGCTGTTGAAAAACGTGGGAATGGATTTCGACAAGTTCTCAATTTATAGAGCATAAGAGTAGCTTAATGGCTAAGGGAACTAAATATCTAGATATTTGTTTTTTTTTTTTTTTAATTTTTGGGGTTTGTTGTTATCCAATCAACTTTTCCACCAACATATTATATATATATATATATATACAATTGTATTCTATTCAAATAAATAATAAATGAAAGAACAATAAAAACAAAAAAAATAGAAATAAAAATAAAATGTGTGAATTAATTTAGAAATTATGAGGTAAAATAAATAAAACCAAGTTTTAGGATAGTTCCAATCATAAAGTGGTGTTCTATGATTTAATTATGGTAACACACGGAGAAATTATTCTTTACTTGGGCCCTTACGCAGACTTTCACGGATCTAGGGCTAAAATGCTATTAACCTAAGGCTCAGGGTTTGAAGTGTAATTACAAAAAAATTAGGGTCTCTACACTTCCTTCCCTTCGATTCTTCTCCTTGGGTTTTCAATCAATGTTTTAAAGAAGTTTATACTTTGTATTGATCAATCAGTGTTTTACACATCTCATTTATTTTTCCCCAGATCACCAAAACTGATTTTTCAATCAGTGTTCTCTATTTTTCACTCTGTGTTTTTTATTACCCTGTTTTAAACCCTAAATTAGCATCAACAATATTAGGCAGTGTTTGGAATGATTTCCAAACTATGATTCTACCTACACATTCTAATATGATGTTTGGATAGGTTATTCAAACTATATTTCCACAAGATTTAGAAAGCTTTGTATAAGGTGTGATTTTCAAAAAAAAAAAATTTGAAATTTGGCCTAACCGGTTGTCCCTCTGGACGTCCCACCGGTCGTCCGGCCGGTTGACCAAAACAGTACAAATATATATATATATATATATATTTGGCAATTGACATATTCTAATTTTTATATATTCGAAAAAAATATTTTCTGAGTTTTTTAAAAAAAATTATGTCTTTTAATAGAATTTTCAGTTGTATATTTGGTTATGAGTTGTAAGTTTTTGTATCAAATATCATATGTCATATCAAAAATTTCCCCACTCAATTCAAAACTCTTTTCAAAACTCTTTCACCAAACAAATTTTTCACACTTAAATCATAATTCCAAAACTCACAAACTCAAAATACAACTCCTACTCTCAAATCATATTTAGAAAGCTCTACCAAACGCAACTTTAGCCTCTCTTTTTTTCCCTATTCTGATCTGATTTTTTGTCCCAATTCTGATGTATGCACATATTATACTTTTCTTAATGGCATTGTTATTAGGGTTGTGCTAACAGTCCACTATCTACTTGTAAATTGCACTAATTACCTGTCTATGTTGCATGTGTTAATGTGTAAACTCAATGTGTTGATGTTGTAATTTGATGATAAATTTTGAACTATTACAATACAATGATTTCAAGTATTTTATGCATTAATCTCTTGCACTTAATTTTAGAAAAAAAATGGGACAGTGGTAGTATATATTTGTCAATCTATTGAGTGATCAGTAATTATTTATTTGGTTTAGAAATGTATTTGGAATAGAGTAGTACTAGTAAAGTTCAAAATCTGCTTTGTAGAACTAGTGATTGCAAAGTTTAATGGTTCTAGCTAATTTTTAAGAGTTAAGTTTGTGAATCTTTTGTACTTATTCCAGTTACAAGATTAGGGGCTTTAAGCATGAAATAAGAGTGAAAGATGCGACTGTAAAAGAAACTTACTGTCTACATACAAATAAATAAGGAAATTAATTGTTCCAATGAGTAACAAATAAAATGATTATAAATAATGAATGATAAAATGCTTCCAACCTTACAAATTAATATATTTACAGCTTCATTAAAAAAAAACATATCAAAGCACACAAATCATATATTTACAGTGAGTGAACATTAATATTTTTCTTCTATGAACCAAACTTGTTGCCATTGAAGGGTGAAAAACATAAAAACAAAGGCAACTAAAAGAGAAAGAAAAACAAACAAATCCTAAACTTCTGGTGGAGTATTTCCTTGTTACTTTATTGGCCTAAAAGTTAATTGGAAACCTAACTTTCATTTTTTTCTAGTGGAATATTTGTTCGAATAACATTACTATATGCACATGCTTAGTTTTTCATTTATTTCATTATTGTATGCACGCATACCAAATGATGCTCCACATATTCAACAAAACTTCAAGCCTTTTTGTGATGATGGAAGCTAGAGAACTTCTTTGGAAAATAAGCTAACCAGAGAACTCAAAAAAGTAATGGAGGACTAGTCATAGGAATTGGAATGGTGAGGGTGTCCAATTTAGACTTGAAAATATGGAAGACGAGAGTGTTTGTTCATTGCCTTTGTGGAGGACTAGTCAGCCCACAAGTCCAGTGCACATGTGTCATCCCAGGAAACATTACCGGTATCTATCTCCAAATTCAAGAGCTCAAGAGGGAAGTGGGAGCTCATGAAGATAATGAACAACATGCCTGAGTCTTGTTATGACCTATCTTTGAAAGATATTGTTGGGCACCCTACTAGATTGGAACCTCAAGCAGAAGAATGTTTGGTTCACAAGAAAAAATTTGGAAGAGTGAAGGAAATTAAAAGGAAAGAAAGTAGAAGAGTGAGAAAAAAAGAGAAGATGATGAGAAACAGAAGCATTGACAATGGAGTGTTATTAATCAAAGTGTGTTTCCAATTTCATTTGGATCAAAGAAGAAGAAGAAAAACTCTGTTTCACCAAAACCTGAGGCTTCGAATAAGTCTTTTAAGGCTGTTGATAAGAAATGGTGGAAGAAAAGATTTACTATTTTGAGAGAGAGCGAATGCGGTGGCAGAGTGGAAGTACTGGAAGTAATGGCAGCAATAGAAGCAGGTATGATAATCTTTTCTTTCATTTGTTCTGTTTATTGCGTGTCCTCGAGTTGATTGAATTTTTTTAAGCAGTGAAAATAATATTGAATAAAACCCGTGATTTTGATTTTGAGTTACTATGTTTGATTACAAAAAATCTTTGATTTTTTTTTTGACAATTTCTATCATTCTTAGAAATTGAAAGCCAGTATGCACCTCAAAAACAATATCTGTAATTTTTGTTGATTGGTAATTTAATTATTTTGGAGATGCCAATCCCCATATGAAACCGAACAAACAAGAATTGATGGCACAACAAACCAAGAAAATCATTTTCCTTATACAAAACAAATCTTATCTGTAAGTTTTCTTTATACAAAAATCCCATATTTACATACTTATATATGTACTGGCATTTACGTGTTTGCGAATATTTTTTTGATTTATACAAAAACCTTCTGTGGAGAAGTGATTTGAAAATACTCTTCAGATCCTGGGGAACGCTCGTGATCCTCAACTAGCCACTTGAAAAAGAATTAACACTCCGGTCGGGGTTGTCGGAATTAGCACTCCGACGGATAAGTCAGTGTATACTCTCTTGATTGCTTGTATCTTAAGTTAAACATGCTAATTCTCACATACCTCTTTCTGGCTGGTGTTCTTCTATTTATATCCTCTCTTTCTTGGGCCTCGAGGCTAGGCCCACTCTCTATTTGCCGTATAACTATTTATTCGGCTTCTTTTGTTACAAACCGCTATTCACTCGATCTCTTACTCAACCGGCTGTTTGGCCGGATAGGGTAGGATTTAAATGTGCAAGACGGAGCCGAGTGCGATTCGTATATTTCGACTTCCAAGTCCAACTATTCGGCTTCTCTACGGCTAATTATATTCGGCCCCCACAATTGCCCCCCAATCACTCCACTAACGACAGTTAGCGAGAGTGTTTGGTTTTGAACTCGAAAAGTCAGAGCCGAAATTCGGTGGCTAACCTCATTTCAACGCGGATGTCAGAGCACACGCCTCTCGGTTATCATTTCAACTTCCAGCCTCTTCGTACGCTTCCATTTATTGTGATTTAAAATCTTGTCGTCTTTTCAAACACACATCTTTGCATGCTTAAGAGTTTTTTGGACTGCCTTCCGACTCACTTCTGCAACTTCCATTCAACCTTTATTGTCCTCTCCGTTTCTTGTAAGTTTTCTTCCTCTCTGCTTCCTTTCTTCTTTGAATCCCTTTTCCTAGTTCACCTTTAGGTTAGTACGCTCCTATAGGCTGTTCGAAATGGCAAAGCATCTGAAAGACCTTCTCTCCGCGGATCGAATCTCTGGCTTTCGACGCCATTTTTCCATCCCTGATGACGTCCGTCTATGGAGAGGGCTGATGAGAGCTCCATCGTCTTCCCTCTTCTATCAATCGCAAATGGTGGAGTCCGTTTCCCCCTTCACCCATTCCTCAGAGCTGTCCTTCGCCATTGGGGTCTAATCTGTTCCCAACCCAATGTCAACTTTTTTAGAATCATAATGGGGATTGTAGCATTAAACCGTCACCTTAGGATCAACCTCGGCATACATGCTATTCAGCATTGTTATGCCTTGGCCAAGTCTTCTGGCCGGCACGAGCGCTATTTCCTTAGGGCCAAGGACACCGACCATCAGTTAGTGACCATGTTTTCCAACTCTAGCAAGCAAGTTGATGACGTGGTGGTCGTTGTCTGAGATAACTGGAAATTCGGCGAAGGTGAGGAACGCTTAGATCTCATTCTTAGGCAGAGGGGCGAACCAGGTGGCCATATAGCCCTTTGCACTTATTTTTGTTGCATATACAAGACTTTATCTTTTTGGTCTCATGGTTAGATTTGTGCAGGAAACGATTTGAAGAAAGTCTTGACTTCGACCGATGACGCCGCTCAGAGATCGAAGTTGGGCTGAAATACTTAGGCCATCCAAGCCTTCAAAAAACAGGGAGGGCGGCACATGTTCTTCTTCAATACAAGCTGACATACACGATCTTCTCAGCATCAGAAAACATCCCAGTTCTGAAGGGTGAAGAATTTCTTACGGCTCTATTTTAAGCAATTTCAGGAACTTGCGCCAGATCGGTTT